CGAGCTAAATTTTTTTTATAGAGATATCAATATTACCTACTTTTTATAGTTTCCTTCTGCAATAACCAAAATAATTTCGATTTGAGCACGAGACAGCGTCGTTGGGTTTTTTAATGTTAATTAATTAACATATACATTTACATTTTCCATTGATACTGAAGAAAATTCAATTATTTTAATATTACAGTTTTCTAACTAACAAAATACATATTTCTATGGGCACTAAAGGTGTGGCAGGGGTTTAAGAACCTTAGTTTGAAGGTAAGTAAGTGGGTTTTGTTAGATTAAGCACATAGGTGCCTGTGTAAGCAATCCCTCCGAGTAAAAGCGGAGTTATTTATGAAAGAAAATATTATTTTTAACTGAACTCTAATATTCAGTCTATTTATATGAACTCTATGGTGCTTTTTTAGAGTTCCGTACCCAAAGGGTAAAACGGGAACCCTATTACTAAAACTTCGCTGTCTGTCTGACTAACTAAATCTGTCACCAGACTGTATCGTCGAATAAGTAAACCTACTGCCTTCTATGAGTAAATATTACTCCAGTAGAACCTCTTAGTAGGTTAACCTTTGCTAACTCTCTGTTTGATAATATGAATTTTGACTAATACTAAGTGTGGTTTCAGCGTAAGTTTACTCCAACGCTAAACCTTGTTTAATAACACTGTAAGGGATTGCAGACCTTACTGTACATTTAATTACAACGTCATACCTCCACGTTGCGAAAAAATTGGATATTGTTAGGCAACCAGAGATGGAAGGACAGAGAGACAATGAAATGTTAAATGGAGGTAATTATTATTATTATAATGAAAATGATGATTTTTATCTCATTAAAAGATAACGCCATCAAACCAGACATATTCGCGTTAAGCGTTAACAAATATTAAACATTCATTATCATAAATTATTAATGGGAATTAACTTTATTGTCAAATGTTAATCATAATACTCTAAATAATAAACGTAATTGAAATAAACATCTTAAGGCAATCGTAAGATACCTATTACGTTAGGAATTTATTTTCAATGCTTAATTAAGCGTTGATTCCTGTTAGTTGGTATTAACAATTAATAAACGTTATTTTTTAGTTTCTAAATATATAATTATACTCCTGTAAACTATAAAATAATAAGTTTACTACTGTTATTAAATTTATTTTTACAGTTGAAAACGCAGTTTAACAAGAAACAGACTTAAAATATATCGATTAACTTCAACATGTGTTGAATACATTAAGGAACCTGAAATCATCTACTAGCACTTGAAAATAAAGTAAGTATACGTTGAACCACTGATGATAGACCCATTACGTATTCTCTTTGGATTTTCACAACTGCATATTTTTTATTCTCTTTTCGTAATGTTACTACAATGTTACGTCGGTAAAAAAGTACATTGAAATTTATTTTACAGTTTTAGTTCTTAATAATAAACTCATTTCACGTTAAATATGAGTAAGCATCTTTTTATAGCAGATAAAAACGAAAAAATGTAGCAACACCAATGTGATAATGTTAAATTATTTTTGATCAAAGGTGATTTTAATCGATTTGATCAGTTGAAGACTGATATGAATACTGATTGTCAACTTAAATTAGAAGTTAGGTGCTGAGTATAGACAGCGTGTGCCGAGAATCAAAAAGAATGAAACTGCATCATGCAGAAACGAGGTGAACGAACATATTTCCCTAAGGGCACATTCGCTTTACATCGTCTAGGGCTTTCAATGACGGGATCCTGCTACTACCTAATAAAGGGAATCCCTAGATATATTTCATTTTTCTTTCTGTATTTAGTGGGAAAAAATAATAAGTGCACTTTATTTGTTCCATTTCATTTTTCAGTATCAAAATTACTAATAATCAAAGATAAATTATTGTATATATAATTAGGTACTTACGATTTTAGTGTATAATTGAAGCTTAAGGACATTACAATACAAAATAATCGAATCGGAATACGAATTTGCATTAAGATAAGAAAATTGATTTCCAAATGCCCCTTTTAGTACTTGTACAATAACTATAGGTACAAATATTGTAAAGAGGGATGATTTGTTTGTTTGCATCGCCTACGCTCCGAAACTGCTGGACCGATTTTAAACATTATTTCAATATCCCTACTTGACCGATTTAAAAAAATCCAAGGTTCTCAACTGTAGATAAATATATGTATTACATTTACATTTGTGTAAACAGAGGAATCACACTATAAACAGTCAACAGAATCCGAGCGTTCATACAATTTTCGCGTTGAATTGGTCGCGTTTAAAAGTGTACTCCTAACGTACATAAGACTTGTAACAACCCTTCTCGGTACAAAGCTGTTACGTCACAACGCAATCTACGTATCACAAAAAAGTAGACGTTTTCAGTAAACGTTTATTTTTGTAATACAACAAGTTAAACTTTTACGGTTTGCATGTAGGTTATTGTTCATTCAACATGTTGCATAATTAAAAAATTGTACGTTGCATTAACTTTTTTTCATTATTTTGTGGTAGTGTTCTAACTTGGTGGTTTCAGTTTTTTTGATGAACGAATGAAATCACAATATTTATAGAAAAGAAAACAGTTAATTAATACACGTAAATTATCGCAAGCATAACAGTTAAAATTGTGAAGTGACACTGTTTTCTTATGTCATAGGTTTGACATGTACAATAAGTCACATACCATCATTATTTGGGTAAAATTATTCCTACCAATATTGGACGACATTACAATTAAATTAGGCTATTCTTTGTTAAGGCTAACGAACTAACTTAAGCAATGGGTAATACTTAATGTCAACGATAGAAAACACATGCTCGCCGGTTGTTATAATTTCCGACATCACGCAATCAATTTGATCTCACAATCTTGAAAGGTATGTGTCACGGCCTCTACCGACTTTTGAATCTTTTCATTTTGATGTGGATTATTTTTAAGACTTAAAGCTTTTTAATTGATGATGCTTTTTAACCGCCTTCAAAAAGACGTTCTTATTTTATGAATGTATGTTGATATATTTGCGCGTTTGTGCATTTGGCTGAAACGATTTTGATTCGGTTTTCAAAAAAGTATTTTTAGTGTTACCTATTATATAAAAATTATTAATATCACTAAAAACCGACTTATTCGAGAAAATGCTATTGAAATCGGGCGCCTATCGTTTAATTAATAACCTAGAAAAAACGTCCGTCCGACTTTAGTAACATTTTCTTGAATAAATCGTTTTGAGATAAGTATTATTTTTCACTTTTTTATCGTTCGTATCAACTCTGGGCCATGAAGTAAGTCATATAATTATCAATTCTCATAATGAACTCCTTTACAGACACCTAGTTACACAAACGTCCATTAAAGTTTAGTGACGTCTTTAAGCCCTAATAAATGTCAAATTTGTATAGGTAATGTCGCTTGAAACTAATGACAATTTTAATGGATTTTGTGCAACAGGCGGATTGACATATTTATTGAATAGAAGCGAAACTATTAAAACTGATGAATAATTTTACCATATTCAAAATCTTAATTTTCAGAAAATTTCAGGGAAAGTTAGATTATCATCATTTTAAAATATTTATAGTGATTTCGTAAGTTCAATAATATTTAAAATACGGTAGTTTATTTTATTCATATAAAATCAGTAAATAAAATTAATATATAAAATTAGTAGTTCGCTTTTCGTAAGAGCCCTATTGGGTTCCTTTATGTTTGGAAGCATTTCATCTACTTTGTATTGACGCTTTCATTACGTACACTTCTGAATATTTACATTGTTGTCTTCAACGTTTTAAAAAGAAACAACAATAGCTCTATTTTTGTTGAGATGAAGTTGAATTCTAAACAAGAATTATTAAATTCACGAACCATTGGACAACTCTATCAAATGATAGAGTTTATAAATAACGGTTAGAATTTATTAAAGCATTATCACTTGGAAAATTCACAGTCGGCTGAGTATCCGATAGTCGATAAAGTATTAAATAAGAAAATCAATGATTTATGATGTGATAAAATGAAAATGGTTATATCAATTTCTTTGTATCATTGTACAAAATAAGGGATGCTTGAATTCACGAATCATAGATAAGTACCAAATAACGATTTGAAAATGAAAACGAAATTAGTTTTATAAATAATAATATTGCACTTCGAAAATTCACTGACGTCGGTTTTTAAATAAATAATATGCCTACAAGCCCAATAACATAAAGAAAAGTTAGTAACTTGTGACATAAGAGTGAACTATATCTTTGAGTTTCTTTATTTATATCAAGTTGTAATATGGATACAGAGAAAAATTCATTCACTAATATTATTAGAAATGTTTAAAAGTTTCATTGAATATTTGTTTGATTAGGTATATTTTAAATCATTTTTTTCATTTCATTTTAGTAATTAGTTAATTTTAGCAAAGCTGGATGAACATTAACTTTCCTAAGGTTTGAACAAGTGGGAACAATAGTTCGCGGTAGTTCCACCGTTAAAAAAATTAATACATTGGTGAACTACTGGAAATAAGTATCTCAATAGTGCAAATAGTTGAAGTACTCAGGTAAACTAGTGGTAACGAGCGGAAATCGTTTTAATTTCATACTAAAATCTACACGATTCATAAAAATTTTGTTCAAAACCTAATTCAGCTTTCATGATTATTCCCACTCACCTTACTATAACAAGTCGGTTCTTGACGATGAATAGGCACGTAATAGCTCTTCAAATTAAACATAAAGCAAAGACGGTACGTGAGCAATTCTACAGTGAAAGGTTTCAAACAAGATACTTTTAACGAGAACTCGAACCTATGCTAAGAGGGCAACACTAATTGGAAATTAAATATTCCAATAGGAACAGAGTGTAAACAATGAGTAACTGAACGGATAACAAAAATATTAACGTTTTCCAAGCTTTGTTATATAAGCGATCAGGTATTTCTTTTATTTTCACTCTGTTTATACAAACTGCCAATGCAGGCGACAGCAAAAGGTAATAAAAATAAAACTTTACCCCCGGAGACGTTTTCTAATGTAAATGCATTGAACTTCCACTGGACTGACTGATTCAGGATGCACTGTAAGAGAAGCAAAAATGTTATTATTAAAATACAAATACGTTGCACATTCCGAACACATTTCACAGAGCGGGTTGGTACATTCGCTTAACCAGCAGAATTGTTAAATTAGCATTAAAGTACATTTAGAAAAAAAGTCACGTCACGTCCAAGTCGATGATCTGTGCAAGAGATGAGAAAGTAGGTATTAAGACGTATACAACAAAGGTGTGGGAATGTTTGACAGATTGTTGGCAAACAATCAATGACCAGTGCATCAGGAAGGAATGTTAATACGTCAACTTGCACGGTTCATACTCGGACGCGTGCACTTCACTTGTCTCGCTTCCTCATAACACCGTCAACATCAACAATCGCAAAGCTGTCTATTTACAGACAATTTATCAGTTCGAAGGTCAGATAAACTAGTCAATTTTGATGCTATTCTCATAACATTTAATTTCATTCACATCTTCGTATACAATAATATAGCAATCGCTTTTTAGGAATGTGAATTGAACAATTAAGAATTCGCCTCGGCGCTATGATAATGGGTGACGTCACAGATCAAAAAGCTAAACACAAGGTATTAATATCTACATTCGCTCGGCGCGTCCTCGGCGATACTACTCAGAACGCATAGCGATATCACAATATGTCACAAGATACGACATTATGTACATACAGGACAGTGCGTGAGGACGCAATGCGAATATAAATTAAGTGCGATAGTACTATGTTAGGAGTTAGTGACGAGCTAGCTTCATGTACTTACCTGCACTTGTCCGAGTAGGAGGTCGTCGAGGAGTGCAGCCTCTTGGCTCAGGGATCGGGTGAGGAGCTTCTTTTTACGGCGCTTGTGCATGGTAAGGAAGCGGCCGGTGCAATTGCCGCGAGGAGTCATCATGTCCAGTTCCGAGTTGAGGCCAGCGCCAGGGGTTGATGAATCCGGCTGCCCCTCTGGGACTGCAACAATAATCTTCATTAAAGCTTTTAAGCAATCCAAAAAAAACTTCATAATCGATAATTGTTCACTATTTAACAAAACATTCGCAAAAAAGAAACAATAAACACAGTTAGAAGAAGCTTACAGAGTGAAGTATTCATAACATCGGGGCAATGAAGTGGCATAAAAACGATTTCTCTGCCGAACAATCAGATAGCGATAGTAACATCTATCAGAATTTGAGCACTTTATTAGGCGACTGTTTACTAACGCGTCGATAATAAAGGCCGGTAAAAGCGTGTATAATTCCGAGTACCGTGCTCGTCGATTACTACAATATATAACTAGTTATATAGGTCGCAAAGTAAACGCCAAACACATTTTTAAAACGTGTTACGTCAAACGTATCTGATCGGAATTGGAGAGTATTTTTACTGAATTTGTCTTCTATAAAATGTTATTTTAATATTAATTATAAAAAAAAAGAAATACAAAAAGTTTATCAAACTAGTCATACGACCAAGCATTTTATGATAATAGAAACCCGAATGTCATTAAAATTTCACGATAAAAACAAACACAATAAAGGTTTTAATTCATTTTTATTGCGTAAAGATTTTTTTTACTATACTTTTTTCCAAGTCGATATTAAGAAAATGGCTTCACTCTCCTTGATCCCGATAAGTAATAACTTTAAAACTTTCTAAATTTATTATTGGGGTTCTTTTTTTATTTTTAACTCTATTTTATGTAACTGACAAAATCCTATCCTATGTATTGTGTGTAGTCCGAATCGGCACACATCACGTTTAATTGGGTCACATCACGGTTGTATTAATATTATCATCAGATTTTTACGCCTGGCATGCGTCCGAGAAAACATTGCGTTAAATTGACATATAATGAATATATCACTTGTAAACAGTGGAAATAGCCGCTAATGCAAATAAAAGAAAGGTGAACTACCTAATTGCTTAAGCAATATTGTTTATATGTTTTAATGACTGGACCTACATACTTTTTCATTCCTTACATTTTATTAGTGGTGTCCATAGACACTTTCTGCAATTTCTCCAAATAATATACGCTACAACAGGAATTATTGACAATGAATCAACTGCATTGCGTACTAAAGAAACCGATCCGCAAGATGCCACACTTGATGAGACAAGGCAGCCTAAACAATTCCCACTTAATAATATCGAATAGATGCCACTGCCCGCCCGTTTCAACGACGTCGAATTTCGTGGTAAAGCTAACATTGTGAGATTTTACACTATCACTGTTAGTACAGAATGAGAACTTTGCTCTGTATATCTATATGTAAAACGAATCAAAATTCGTTGTGTATTTAAAAAAACTACGGACAGCGGACATAACTTTATATTATGTATAAATTTATAATATCTTATCAAACTATTAATTATAAAAATGAAATGTTTTCACAAATAAAGATAGTACAAACTGCGTCTGACCATCACCGACTAAAGAACTATTGTTCGTATAACATATTTTTAAACATTTTAAGTCATCAACATAATCACTTAACATAGGAACAGATATTACTAGTTGTATTTAATTTTTAGTTTTAATAGTTAAAAATATAATCTTTATATTTGATTAAATTTTTTTTTTGCATATAAATAACTATAACTTTTCATAACAATTTTTAGTCATACATTTCATAGTATGAAAGGCACGAGTTCAAAATACTGCTGTCTAGTCCCCGTTATTTTATTACATACAACATATGCCGTTTAATAAGCTACCCTGAAATATGTGTCACCCATTTATATAAATGTTACATTACTTGTAACCTTCGATCAGAAAGCGTCATTAATTGTAAGTACTTGTTACTCAATGACCGCATCGATCAGTTATTGTTTTACAGTAGTCGCTCAAAATCTTTATTTCTGCTGTTTATTCACATATTTTCGTAGTAAGACATCTCTATACTATTTTATATTTGTAGTTTAGATATTCTACGCCACCGAAGAGTTGACAAAAATTGACTAAATACGAGCATAACTCCTCCATTCTTAATGGCACTTAAATAATATTTAATTACTTTTAAAAAAATATTCGATTACATAATTTTGTACTTTCAACTTTTGAAATTTTGTATTTTTTTTTTTGTATAATTCATAATAGACGTATAGTTCATAGGTACTAGACGTCTATTATGACTACGTTGTCCGATCGTAGCACACGTCTACGAAATATAGATATAAATTTAAATTTCTTCTGAAGTATATAGTACTTATATTTCTTTGTTTTTTGGCCTTCCGTTAGAGGATCTAAGTGTTTACGCGTAAAAGTTTAATTAGGATGATGAGAAGGTATAGATAATAATAAATACGAAAAACCGTTGTAATGACTGTTAGCCTGAATCGGTTATGGTAATGGGTAATGTTATATAATGGCATTAATTTTTAATTAACACTCAAAGATAAAATAGAGTGTAGCTGGTTTGAAACATTTATTTTGATTTTCTTATCGCCCGCCAAATAAGTTACAAAATGTTCTAAACTTCATACAGTAGGAATCCTACTTTATTAAGTAAATGTAGAAGTGTTTATAAATTTTATTTAGAAAATTTCCCAAGAAATTGCCAATACGGACCAACTTACAAAAGTTCTATTTATGTCAGATCCATCAATTACTGGTCTTCGGAAACTTCCCCGTAAAAGATCGATTGTAATACCCGAAGCAGATTTTAAATTTCCTAAGAGTCTAGACTAGATTTTACTAAAATGATTTATATATTTTATTTGTAAATAAATATACAATTTTTCTATAGCAAATGCTATCGATCAAACTGATATAACATAAACGATATGTAGGTGGATAAGCCTTGAGAATCAAATTGATCCAACAATATTCCTTTTAGTTTTTTTTTTATTGAAGGCCCTTATGAGGAAGTTATAACAATGTATAAAATACCTTAAATCCCGCAATATTTTTATACAAATTCTGTATATATAAATAGTGCGCATTCATTTTGTAAATATATCCTCATAAAAAACTGATGTAAAAATATTATGAATATATTGTCGCGCACGAAATTAATTTTGGGTAACAGTTAAAAAGAAGAGAATAAGAGCGGCTTACGACTTGATGAGTTCCCGGCGCGTTTTATTTCGGTGCACACGCAGCGACGTAAACTCACGACATGGGTGGAAAGAGCCCATCACTTCACTTTTTCTCTGTATCAAGATTCGCTAGAAGACACTCGTCGTAATTTGTAACAGAACCCTTCCTACGCTACGCTGAGAGCCGTATCCCTTGTAAAGTAGTTTTCTTGTCTTCCACCGTCAGTTGCCGACAGACGTTCACAAAGATGCGGCATCAAATGAATTGAAATTAGATAGTCAGTAATTTCGAAATTTACCACGCGTGAAAATAATAAATTAATTTACATTGTCTGGCGTCAACAGTTTTATTAATCTTAATTGATGAAAATATCTTAGTTTTCAACGTGCAGTTATTCAACACATGCCTACATCTAAGAGGGATATTGTTTCAATCAAGCTTATTAACGGATGTAATCTGCTTGGTGAGTCTATTAGCAAACGAATAAATTGATAAAGGACATAAACGTAAAGATTATCCATTAATTTTCCCACGCTTTGCGTCCGCTAACACGTGAGGTGTAAGGACCGTCCGTTTCTAATTATTATTATTAGGTATTTGATATCAACAATAGTATTTGATACAATAAGAATATAAAACACAATTATATCACTTAGTATACAATAAATAAAGTGCGTGTTTTTTCTTCTATTTTAACGCTTTTCCTACTCGGTATTTTTTCTTTTTAAATTTTAATTTTAATAAAAATGAACTTTTCTGTATTTGTCCCATGACAAGAATATATAGGCACTCAAATAAAATTGACAAACTCAAATCGTATTTAATATAAATGTACTATTGATTTGCACAGGGCCACTTACCACTGCACAGGGAACTAAGATAAAAAATAACATTTGTGCTTTATTCATATAGGTATAATAATTATGGTAGTGATAAAGATGACTTTCACTATTAACATAAATTAAGCTTATTCCGATCCTTTAAGTTTTATTATAAAGCACTTTATATAAAAACATAAAACGTACAATTTATATAACTATAAATAAGTAAATCTCGATAAATCATCGAGTACAACAGTGATTGACATTACCGTGTAAACAAATGCAGCACATATGGACATTTCCAATATAACACATATGATAAAATTATAATAACCTGTGATTAGATTACACCTCCCTCCAGGTGTAAACAAAACACCGCATATCAAACGCCAACTACAGATTTCATTTGAAATCGATTATGAATTCAGTTGATCGATATTTTATTTGATTACTTTAACAAAAGTAACAACATATCTATTATTTTTATTATGTTAATGTTGCATCGACCAATGATACGTTGCTATTAATTTTATAGTGTGTATAGATATTGATGTTCATATCGCAGTAACGACTTTTGCTTGTATCAACGGCCACTTCAATGCTCCGTTACGAGATATCCATAAATAGACAACAAGCTATTTTTAATATCAATGTCATAAACTTAAAACGGCGTTTATTTTAGTGACCACCAATAACAATGCCAACTAAACAATTGTAACGTTCACAATATGGTCGTATGTCAACGTGTGTTGCTGCGGAACGACCGCTCGTAAAGATGTATTATACTGCGTTTTAATTATTCTACCACCATTGTTTAAACATATACTTATAGTGTATCTAAATATATTATTTGCCACTTATTATGTTTGATATAAAAGTTCGATTCCGCCGCTATTTACCCCAGGGTTTACTGTGCACAACGTTTCAGAAATACGCGAAAAGATTCCATAATAAAGTTGACATTTTTCTGTTTATTAAATCAGTACCAATCATCGCTTCATAAAATAATAATTGACGTTTTTTAAATTACATGTCAGTAGCCAAAATATATACATTGGTATAAATTTATTTGAAGTACTTTTTGATCGTTCAACGTCATTTTCCTACC